TGACTCGTATATTCGACAAAATAAAAAAATGATATATTATCATGACACAGTAAATAATATTTAAACATAACTAACATTATTTATAGGTACTGTTTAAATATGATAAGTATTAATATGTCATAATTAAACCGAAAACCGTTTTCCTACAAACATGAAGTTATTAAAACAATTCAAAATGTGCAATTTCCAGGCCAAAATATGAAACATATTTTTTTTATTTTTTTCAAGACGTTCAAATACACGAAATATTCTCGAGTCGATTAACAATTTGCGTCTTAACTTTTTATGTCCACGAGTCCCGAAAAAACAAAAAAAAACGGTTTAAGGAATGATGGACGTGAATAAAACTAACAATGAAAAATAATTTTTGAAATCTCATGGTGACGTACGATGACGTCACTGTTCCATGAGCTATCTGAGTAAAGGTCAAGTTTTTCGGTCCTTTGTGTTTAGTTTTGATTTCGGTCTGGTGGCAGCAACATCGGAGAATTTGGAGCACCATTTTGGCTTAAAAGTAGTACGTGTTCGCGAATTTCTAATTTGTTGTTAATAAATACTAGTGAAAATGTTTTGCATTACTGTTGTGAACATGAAGGAAAGTAGATTTTTTCCAAAAAAAGCCCGAAAATAGAGTAAATACGGTTTGAGCTTTAATTTATCGGGGTCTGTGACTCGCGTATTCGACAAAATAAAAAAATTATAAATTAACCAAATTCTTCCAGCCAAAAGTTTCGTCTCTGGTATGAGTTACCGTGCTCTTTTGTCTATTCTTAACCCTGCTCCTGAAGATGCCAGTTACGAAAGTGTGCGAAACGTTGAGACAAAAAACTCAATTTACACAGTTCCAACCCGAAAAACGATGATGTATTATTTATACTGTTTAAATGTGATAAGTATTAATATGTCATAATTAAACCGACAACTGTTTTCTTACAAACATGAAGTTATTAAAAACAATTCAGTTTGTTTCAGCCTTGTTAAATTAATTGATCACTTCGTAATTTTATTCCGCATATAAAATTTTATTCTTCTTAAATATTTTTCGTCTCTAGTTCGTAAAAAATCATGTTTGTTAATTTTAAATAGTCTCTATCTGTTGATGTATGATTAGGCACCAAATAGACCCCTTTTTTCACACCAGTAGGATTGAGATAAATGAATAACGACATCAGGAATACAAGATATAACAAAATAGAAAACAAACAAAAAGCCACTAATTTCATAGTAATTATCAAATTTGGATCCTCTTATCGGACAAACCAATCAATACTGATTAATGTAACATTTTTTTAGTTTACCACAAATTCGGCCGTATGCGAATTATTGAATTTATAGGTTACTTTATTTAACTATATTTATTTGACAAAATTTTGAGTTGACGTCATCAATTTTTGGAGCGAATAAGTAAATATATTTTGATTAAAAATTTATCGTGCTTATCATTACTTTGAAACATTTGCAAGATTTCAAAGCATTCGGTTTTGTAGATTCAAAATTAAATTGCATTTTTTTTTCCAAAAATTTGGACGTTTCGGGTAAAAACTCAATACGGAGTCATAAACTACATATGTAGGACTATGTCATTTCATACAGTTTAAAATCCTGTAGTACAATTTTGAAGTGACGTCATCACATTATTTGTGGGGATGATTAGACAAATTTTGGTTAGCGTTTTACCATCTCCTACATGATATTCCTAATATAAATACAGTACTTTCGGAGATTATCTCTCTAATAAAAATCCGGGATGGCAGACAGAGGGACAGACGGACAGACAAACATACAAACGGAAACGGGAGACCTATTTCTTCGTCCTCTAGGGGTCATGAAAGGTCGAGAAAACGTAAAAGTAGAGAGTCGGTCGACGGACTCCACTAATTCCACGAAAATCAAATTTTGATAGATATAATGAAGGCCACTAAGCCATTTAATCATCTGTTCACCGAAACCCTCATATTTTAAATAGCTGCCATCATTTTCTATGCTGTACTTTCTGTCAGTACTTACGGATTGTTGAAGATAGTTCTTGACGTTTAAATCAAGTATCATGTTGTGAAAAGAAGTCTACACATATTAAAACAAAAAGACAAAATGTAAGCCCGCCCACCCGCCCTGTCTCAATTGTGATAATTTTTTTTTATTCGTCGTAAACCAAGGGGGCAGAATTTAACTGCAAAATACTTATTTCTTTATAACAAATTAGAAACATGTTTTTGCGTATCGTGTTGTAAGAAACTTAAAACATGTTTAAAATGGTCAATTCTTGTAGACAAATATGGATCTTGCAATTAAGCCCCGCCCCTCGATCTGACAACGAATGAAAAATTCATCACAATTGAGAATTGAGATCGGGGCGGGTATGGGTTCTTTGAACAACACGATACTCAAACATGGTTTTAAATTCTTGTAGAGAAATAAGGATTTTGCAGTTATGCTCCGCCTTCTTGGCTCACGACGAATAATAAAAAAATCATCACAATTGAGATAGGGCAGGTGGACGGGGCTACATTTTGCCTTTTTTTCTTAATGTGTAGACTTTTTCGACTATGAGAAACTTAAAACATGTCTAAAATGGCAAAAATTGTAGTAATCAACATTAATTCTCCACTTTTCTTTTACAACCCTTTTAAATACGGCAAAAGTTGAACATCAAAGTTACTATCAATCGCCACTTGGCAACGTAGTTTATAAATGACAATTTTCAGTTCTAAAACAGGGGTCTTGAAATGAGATAGCCTTCACCTTATCCTTTCTTTGCGAAGTTTTCCGACCCGCCCGCCAGGAGTCGTAATGAAAAGAAATCTGTAAAAGCTGTGATTTTCAAAATTTTTGAGGATTCGTTTAGATCTCCTAGCAACGACAGTGTTTATCATTTGACACATTTCCTGTGTTGTATTCGCGTGATTTATGCGTGATTTCATAGTGGGATAGTGCTTCTCAAAGTTTTCTTAATTTATGTGTTTACATTGTACATTGTAGAGTGTAATTGCCAAATGTAAGTATATAACTTTGCCTTGACTAGATTATTATACCCAATTTATGTAGAACAAAAATGCAAGACAACAACATGTTACGGATATACGACGAGAGTTAAGCCGATCTTTGGGTTCCACATCCAAATCGGTTTATGGCGCAAATAATAGAGCCGCGAATAACCAAAAACTGGTGGTTTTAAACAACAACCAAATTTATAGCAGAGGGTACACTGGCTTCCATCATTTTGGACCAGACTACATACCAGGAACGCAAAAGCCGCATAGATTTGCAGTACCAGCTATTTTGCCTTTCCACGGTAAAAACAAATTGAAAGTCAATACAAAACAAATATTAAGATATTTTTATTCACAGCTGATAGTGAACTTGCTACAGCATCAGTCGAAGCAAACCACATTGATGTGGCAATCACAAGAACGCCTTTCGCTCCGCTAAGAAGTTTCTAGGAGATCAACGTTTGGTTGGTATCGTGAAAGGATTGGCTTCTTTTCAGCGAGAATTTTTTTAAAACTAGATTAGAAACGTAAATCGAAAAGCAGGAGTTTTACATTTGACGCGAAAGCAGATGCCATTGCCATTTGGAAGTATGGTTCAAAATCGTATAAACTTCTGCCAAGAATGTTTATGTTGCTATCTATTAACACTTTGAGGGCAAAACCCTAAATAAAGTTCCAATAGAACCGGGTATCATCAAACCTATATTCGAAGTTCTCAGAAAGCAAGTAAGTCGCAAAATTAACCCTAAGTATGTACTCTCATCTTTGATGAGATGTTCATTCAGCCTCATCTGGACCACTTGCCTTGTGAGGACAGTTGTGGTTTTTGAAGATGACGGTTCAACAAGGATGGAAAAAATTGCAGACCATATTTGCGTACTCAGAGGAATTTTCGGAAGGTAGAAGCAACCTGTTGTTTTTGCTTTTTGTAAAAATTCTATGCCTGGCGTAAACACTGCCCATTTTTTTATAAAACGATTATGAAAGGGGCAACCGATTGATTTTGATTTTCGGGAGTGTTTTGCATATCGAAGAACTAAAAACTCAACTTTTTCATTTATTTTTAAGAGAGTCTATCTTTAGATCTATGAAAAAAGTCAGTAATGTAGTATTTGGTAAGGAAGAGCCTAACAAATCAATTCCATTAGAAACAGAAATGCAACAGTTATATTTACGTTTTACAGAAAGAAAGTAGAACGTTTGTATAATTTTGGATTTTGCAGGTTATTCATCAGCTTTGTTTTGTTCATACCATAACAAAGTACTGGGAAACATATTTGGTTATCAATTTTGAACATTTAATATTTAAAATGTTATTTTATTTTGCACTATTTTGTTTGACTTTTGCTTACTTTTCTAATTTTCTCTTAAATTATATTTTTAGGATATTATCAATGTATTTATTTATTTATTGTTATTATTGTATTTACATTTACAACTGAATGTTAAGTTTTAAATATACTGTGTCAAATATTTTATCTACTTTTTTTTATACTGTTTGTGTTTTTTATATGTCAGCTTCAAAACGTATTTACACGTTTTGAAACTAACATATAAAATACACAAACCATATTTTTCCCTTCAATTATAAAAAATTCACCTTAAAAATTCGCTTTCAAATTTAGCGCCAGTTTTAGTTCCCGACCCAGCCAGTAGATGCTGGCATTGTGACCAACATAAAAGCATTAGAGATCGTGTTCTATAGAGAGGGTATTCTATGGTTCTAAAAGCAACGTCAGCGGGAACAACAACTGCAATGTCAACAGCAAGTTTATAAATCCTACTTATGTATTTTCTGATTTACAGTGAGTTGTTGTAGTTGGTATCACTGGCTGAAAAATAACACCCAAAGTCCTTAAATTAGTGGTGCGTCCTTTGGTTCCAAGTAGAAGCTCTTTGTCATGTAAGGCGACATTTCTAACAAATACGTATTTTGTTTTGTGCCATGCTAAGAATGCAAAAGTCACTATTGTCGTTCTTTCTTTGTCGATATTTTTTAAATGAGATGAATTTTTTGAACAAAACACATTTATTTTAATATTGTGTATTACAAATCATGAATGTTTGTTTATTGCTAACATCAAACATACAATGTTCTTCTTACAATTAAGTACAATCTCCATAAGTAATAAAATAATACAAGAATTAAATACTTTTCAAATACACATAATTAAGTAGCGTATCATAAAAAAACAATGTACTTATATACAATAAGTTTGATTTTATATTTGGACAGATTTGCAATATATAGTACATATGCTGGAGGGAATGGTTTTTAAGATGGCTGTATCTTTACCGACACGTGCGTGTCGCTGAGGATACAGTATCGTAAAAGTGCGCCAAAAATTTGGCTTCAACAATTGCTGGCAATGGATGTGCAAGCTCTAAGCATAACTATGTGCTTAAACTCACTCACAACTCATTTAAAAGCCAGCTTTAAAGATTGACTTGAACTGTTTAACCCTTACAAGCTAGTTTAAAAAAATTATAATGCACACTATTTTCATAAGTCAGTATTTTACAACGGATGAAGCAATACCAACTTACTACCGAATTAAAAAAGTATCTACATCTATACATAATTAAAAAAATAACAATAAAATGCTAGTTCTATGTATAGTGTATAAACGAAGGTATTGCACATTAAAATATCCAAAATAAAAACAAATCAAAATACATCTCGCTACTGTAATTGAACAATAAAATACAATATTAAGTACTACATTAAAACAGGAATAAGTACGTGCTAAGATTTAATAACGTTGCTGAAATTCATGGTGCCATCTATTGAAATCAATGTGAAATACGACTATCGATCCTAGAGCTAGACCCGCTAGCAAAAACCTGAAACGAAAGCAAAAGTTACTAACGTGGACTTTTCCCCCAAAACGCGACGTGGCAACACTGCCGCGTTTTCGGCGCTCCACTCTACTCCAACCGACCTTTCCGCATCTACACATACAGAAAAGTCGTGGTTCAAACCAAAAGTGTAACAAATGATGCATGAATAAACAAAGACAGAGAAAAACATGCACGAATTCCCTCGACACAGATGTCGATGAATGACAGATGACACTCACTTTTGATCATGTGATAACGCAAGAGACCTAACGCTACTATCACACGCTGGGAAGGCATATAATAAAGCCAAGTTGAACGTTCTCCATACTTCCACAATGCCCTTGTCACCACCCGTCATCAAGTATTCACCATCTCGGCTAAGTAATAGGCACTGAAAACGACAAATAAGTCACTGACGAACGCATGCGCAGACCAAACCTGTAAGTTATCGTTATGTGATTCGTGTCTAAGACGTTTCCCGTTGATTGTGAACGCCGCAATGTTGCCCTTCTCGTAGTTGACGACTATGACGCCCTCTCGTGACATAGCGATGTTCTCGGGGGAGGTGAACGACTGCGGCGGCTCCAGCGAGCGCAGCAGGTCCCCGAAAGTGGTGTGCACTAACACGGGCCCACCTGAGGAAACCATCAGAGTGCGTCCGAGCGACTTAAATATACTTACTGTAAGACCCCGACACCACCAGCCCGAGCTCGGCCGAGATGACCACGCTCGACACCGGTTGTTCGTGTCCCGTGAGTGTGGCTCTCGGCGTGGGGACTTCCCCTTCTCCCACGATCGTCTGAGTCCTGGCGTTCCAGTGCCACAACAGCACCGTGCAGTCCGCCGAGCCCGAAGCGATGTAACAGTCCGACGTGATGTTGCACTCCGACCTCGACAGACACGTGACGACACCGTAATGGCCGAAAATAATCTGCACGATTTTGGCAGTTTCGGTGGAGAATACCCTAAAACTGTTGTCCCAGAAGCCGCAAGCTATTAAAAATTTACTATCCACAGTGGTGACGAAACAGTTCGAGCGGATCCTGAGATTTTGGCTGAAGTTGTCGCCGAGGTGACGGCGCAACATGTGGTTTTGATTGGTGCTGTTGTTGGTTTGAGCTGGAAAGAGGGGCTTAGTTGGTGGTTTGTGCTGGTTGAGAGCTGGGTTACATAAAACTGGGTCCATTGATAATGGAAGGTTGGCAGCTTGATTTTGAGGGGTTTCGGCGTAACTCGGCGATTGAGCGACAGCTGCGTAACCCGAGTTCCAGCGGTTGACGGCGAACTGCTGGTGCATGGTGACGGTCACCACGGATGGGTTTGACAGCTGTGGGTACGTGTTGGCGGAAATGTGAACAATGGGGCTGTTGGAGAGGAACTTCATGGTCATGCAGACGTCGTCGGGGATGCTCGAGAACATCATAGGAGACTGAAACGCAACAAAATCATGGATATACCAAAACCCAGTTCAAATTGCCGTTGCTAAATTGGATTAAGTTACATGAATTACCAAATGCATCGCCGAGCTCCTTGGTGGATGTGGCTCCATCAGCAGCTGCGACGGCGTCTGGCCGAAGTTCCTGATCTGGTTCTCCACAGCTTCCCTCATCACCTTATCCTGAATCGAGTCCAACTCCACATTGTTCTCATACGTTAAATAATAAAAAACGTTCGTTGCTCTGATAGCTTCAGGTCCTCTTTGCTTATAACCGAAAATCAAATCGATCCATTGGTGCAACTGACACGAAACGAATTCCGATTCCAGCGCCATCCTGTTAATCCTGACGAACTCTTCGGGTGAGTTCGCCCACGGTGGTAAATCCACATCACCTATCGCCTTCCCGTGCTCGTCCAAACCCAATCTGTATCTATTCGCGTTGACGAACATTTCGGGTAAGAAGAAGAACTCAGGAACGAGTTCTTTGACGTCTGAGGTATCTCGTTGGCAGTTCTTCCACGAGAGGGCGACCGAGGTGAAGAGGCGATTCGGGTAGTCGAATTTGCCGCCTTGTAAGGCGAGAAACATGGTCGTGAAGGGTTCCTGAGGAGAAACGTGTAGTTTTGAGTGCAAGGGGGTTAGAAAATTGAATTACCACACGGATCATCCAGTTGTAGACGAAAGCGGCAGTTGAGTAGTGAGTTCCGTAGTGGAAAGGGGGGATGCTCTCGTGTTCCCAAGTTGAGTAACGTTCTTCGAAATAAGCGCGGCGGTTCGGGTTTAGTGCTCCTATTGGCTTAGAGAGGTCGCGGTAGTTGCTGGGTTGACTTAAGTCGAGTTCTTTTGTCTCGTAGTTAGTGAGGACCCAGGGGAACACGGGGTATTGGTTGAGGTCGTTGTAGGTGCGTCCTGTAGGATTAGGAGTAGTAATTTATTTTTCAAATATTCAAACCTTCACATTTATTTTGGTGACACTGTTAAGCACCTGACAAGTATGACGTTATTATGACGCTTTTTACATAAATCAGCCCAAAAAGGCATTGACTGCTTTTGGGTTAAAATTTTACTATTAGCTTTTATCGACATAAGTAATGCCGCCTTCAAATACTCTATCACACATACAAAGCTAAAATAAATTAAAAACGCTTGAAATGAACATATTTTTCTCTAAAGAAACCCCCATTATTTTTATAAAAGTGACGCCACTGGTAATTAGCTAATACGGTAATATCAAATCGACAAGTGAACATAGTAGGCATGGCAGTAATGTCAAAGTTGTGTGTCTTTGATCTACCTGTGTTTTTCAATTGTTGTTTTTGTTGCAAATATTGTTTATTTTGGTTACTAGGAGTGTTTCTTAAAACAATGAAAATGTTTGTTGTTTATCACAAACGATTTAAATGCACAGTGCTCAGAATGTGTTTTGTAAAAATACGTGATAATCTCACGATGATTTTTGCCGTTCATGGAAGAAACATTTTGGACAAAGGTAAGAGTGTTGATGAAACATGGGGTTTAAAAATCAATCTCATGCTTTAATCGACGGCTTTCGCCGTAAATGTTGTTTAATTATCTAAATTTGGAAACAAATGGCGATTGACATTTAGTTTTTCTCAGCCGACTACGATTATAATGCAAAGAATTCTATTATTGGTAATTGCTAATACGGCAATATCGACAAGTGGACATAGTAGGCATGGCAGTAATGTCAAAGTTGTGTGTCCTTGATCTACCTGTGTTTTTCAATTGTTGTTTTTGTTGCAAATATTGTTTATTTTGGACATTATTAGGAGTTTTTCTTAAAACAATGAAAATGTTTGTTGTTTATCACAAACGATTTAAATGCACAGTGCTCAGAATGTGTTTCTACGTGATAATCTCACGATGATTTTTGCCGTTCCTGGAAGAGACATTTTGGACAAAGGTAAGACTGTTGATGAAACATGGGGTTTAAAAATCTAATCTCATGCTTTAATCGACGTTTTTCGCCGTAAATGTTGTTTAATTATCTAAATTTGGAAACAAATGGCGATGGACATTTAGTTTTTCTCAGCCGACTACGATTATAATGCAAAGAATTCAATTATTGGTAATTGCTAATATGGCAATATCGACAAGTGAACATAGTAGGCATGGCAGTAATGTCAAAGTTGTGTGTCCTTGATCTACCTGTGTTTTTCAATTGTTGCTTTTGTTGCAAATATTGTTTATTTTGGACATTATTAGGAGTTTTTCTTAAAACAATGAAAATGTTTGTTGTTTATCACAAACGATTTAAATGCACAGTGCTCAGAATGTGTTTCTACGTGATAATCTCACGATGATTTTTGCCGTTCCTAGAAGAGACATTTTGGACAAAGGTAAGACTGTTGATGAAACATGGGGTTTAAAAATCTAATCTCATGCTTTAATCGACGTTTTTCGCCGTAAATGTTGTTTAATTATCTAAATTTGGAAACAAATGGCGATTGACATTTAGTTCTTCTCAGCCGACTACGATTATAATGCAAAGAATTCAATTATTGGTAATTGCTAATACGGCAATATCGACAAGTGAACATAGTAGGCATGGCAGTAATGTCAAAGTTGTGTGTCCTTGATCTACCTGTGTTTTTCAATTGTTGCTTTTGTTGCAAATATTGTTTATTTTGGACATTATTAGGAGTTTTTCTTAAAACAATGAAAATGTTTGTTGTTTATCACAAACGATTTAAATGCACAGTGCTCAGAATGTGTTTCTACGTGATAATCTCACGATGATTTTTGCCGTTCCTGGAAGAGACATTTTGGACAAAGGTAAGACTGTTGATGAAATAAGGGGTTTAAAAATCTAATTCCACATATTAATGGACGTTTTTCGCCCTAAATGTTTTTTAATTATCTAAATTTGGAAACAAATGGCGATTGACATTTACCTAGTTTTTCTCAGGCGACTACGATTGTAATGCAAAGATTCAATTAATGGTGCCACATGCATAGTTGGTTGCCTACACACGCCACCTTCGTCCTTTACCTCCGCTGAAATGAGCGATTTGTGAAGCACACAATTACTGTTTTCCCTTCTCGTTTCGAACACTGACAGCTCCCAAGAGTCTACATAGTTTTACAATGGTGGCTCGAAATAAATCGTGGGAATATTAATGTCCCCGCTGCGGCTACCTTATTAATACAATTATAATGAACATCTGACTGATGTTATCTCCGGCTGACGTTTACTTAACTATGAGAATAAAGTACCCGATGTCAAATATCTTCGTTTCAGACATAAGCTTTTCGAATATATTATGGCTACGTTTTAAGAGACAGTAAAACGTTGGAATTTTTATACACAGTCCTAGGCATACATCGCGACATTTTGATTCCCGGTTTAATGTTTCTAAAAGCACGCAAATGCCTCTGGAAATATCTCTTTTGATCTCTGGAAACCGCGAAAAGGCTAAATAAACTTTGATTATAATCAACACTAACAAATTAGGGGTAATGAAATGCGGACAAGTCGTTGTTTTGTGGCTAAAAACATCGAACGTTTCGTTGGATTTTTTTCTTGCGCTAATCGTTACAAGTTAACGGAGTTGTTCTTGGGTGAAAATAATAACGAACTTTCTGTTTATTTTAGGTAGGGTGTATCCAGTAATTTTCAGTGTTTTTTCACCATATGATTATCTGGTGTAATATACAGGGCGTAGTTTTCATGAATTTTGACAAATGAGTTGCAATAACGTAAACAAAAATGTTTAAATCACATTTCGTGATATTTTTGTAAAATTAGTGTGAAATCGGAAACAATCGACCATCGACTCCCCCCTTGAAGCTGTTTTTTTATTGATCGCCGCTGCTCGCGCCAACATAATTCCAAATTCCCCCCAAAAATATTTTACCCTTAATCTCGGCATCTCGTCGCCCTCCAAAACCCCCCCGATAAAATCGCACTCCTTATCCTCAAACAAACAAAATTCCTTGCACCGCAAGGCCACACCAAAGTCAACGAACTTCATCTGCACGTAATTAATTACCCAATTACATTGAAATATATCTTTGCCATAACCGAGTCATGTGTACGAATCTATTTCTGTATCATCGTCTGTCAGGGGGTGAGCGCAGCGAGGGCGGCCGGCTCGGGCGGATGGAAGACGTCGACGCGAATTAGGCGCCACTTCACTCAGGCGAGCCCTTGCGTCGCGACGCCGCCAACCCTTCGTTCCAACGAAAATTTTGTCGAAATTTGTTGCGAGGGAAGCGAGAAAAAATGCGACTCGGAGCGGTATTAACGGTGGCGTCGGTGGCGACGTTCCCGGTGCCTATAATTAGAGACGGGTGTGTGCCGTGATGTATGCGTTTTTAATTTAAAACCAGCCTCTTTGTGACAACTGTTAATTTCGCATGCGACGTCCCATAAAAACACTTCTTCCTCTTCGCTGCCGAGAATTTCCGTTTCGATTACGGAGAGGTAATTAAGTGCGACATGTTTATTTTGATGCGGCGAAGGCGAAACGGAGCTTTCATCTTTGGGTTTGAGTTATGAAGATTTTTGAATAAGTTAAGGTTGTGCGAAGTGTACACGAAACGGCGTCAAATGGTCACTCGATGGTCGAATGTTTTTTAAACGTGTGTGTATATGTGGCTAAAGCTACAGTTTAGGTTTAAAAGTAAAAGATCAGTTACAATACTGAAGTAAGTACTCTTAATATAATTAATGCGCGACTTTGATGATTTAAGGTGCCACTTGTATCGGTGTTATTTCGGTAAAATATTCGATAAAAATTCATGAATATAGAGTGTAACTTACCGGCTATCGTGTTGAGAAACATGAGATACTCGAAATTGGATATTTCTCTACGTTGCCATTTCTGTGTCATATTCGAATTTCTCATAAGTTGACGTGGTGACATCATGCTGGCTCGTCTGTATATTATGACATGGAAAGATTTAATTGTTTTGGGTGTTTGTCGAAATCGGATATTGGAGAAAAAAAATCTCACCTGGTTTGTGGTATCCCGTATTTGATGCCGACGCCTACACGAGGCAGAGCCTTTATTACTTTCTTCACGGTGGCTTGATCGGGAAAAGCGAACATGATTGAAGCTGGAATCGAAAAAACACAGGTTATGTATATTGTAATATCTACAGCAGCTCTTCGTAGAATAAATCTTAAAGCAACTGATACTTTCTATATCAAAGTTGTTTCATGTTTGATGTTGCACGCTGGTCCTTTGATTCAGAGTTACAGTATGATAAAAAAAAATGCGCTTTAGGAACTTTATGGTTTAAATTAGCCCTCATTCTTTTTTGTTTTTTGATTATGTGTTTTTTGTGAATTCTTCTGCATGCTAAAGTCAAACGAAATATTGTCTTCAAATCAATCATCTCATGTCAACTTATACGGCAATCTTTTTTTAATTTAATTTCTATAGGACCTTAATTATACTATGCCACTTTATCGCATCGTTATTAACAGGTGATTCGTTTTTGTCAATGGCTTTTCAGACTACTAATAAAATTATCGTTGGCACATCCACTTATTTTAATGAAGTTTCCTTGCTTTCGTTAAAATAAATATCAACTTCGATCTAAGGTTCTTTATTTGCACAAGATGCCAATTTAATAACATTAATAAGTGAATCTAAATGTTCAATTCGACTTTCACTTAATTTCCGATCTTTGGTTTAAATTTTGATGAAACGTTCAAGTCTTCACTCCATAGGTTGGAAATTATCTGTAATTTAATTAAAACTACACTACTATTTTTTTTTTTTAATTTTTCATTGACATTTCTAGTCGTAAGATTACGTTTCAGTCAATTTTAGCTGCAGTTGTGTGTGAGTTTAAAAAAGTCGATCTGAGGTTATCTAGACAGAAAAAAAAATTAAATTTCATTTTGCGCATTTAATTTTTTTTATCATGAGGGTCGGGAAAATGGCGGATTAACTCTCCGTTATGCTCTTCACAATGAACTGGTGAGCCTGTGAAAAATAGTAAAAAAAATCCGTCTCACATTTTGGTATATTTGGTGGAGTTATGATTTTAAAATTGGTTTTTTGCTACGTTTAACAACTAAACAACACATTCATTATCACAATAACTAGTAATAAAAATGTTTGACATATCAAAAATTGTCAAAGTTTTAAAAAACCTACGTTTAAAATGTTCGCAGTTAATTTTAGGTCCCTTGGTGTTTTATTTTCGGATGAATTTAAAGGAAACTGGTGTTTTGTTGCTGCATGAAAAAAACTTTTGAGCTTTTATTGTCTTATTTTGTTACGAATTTGAAAAAGTCTTGAGTGCCGCAGTGTTTTTTTTTTAATTCCGGAGACTCTTGGTTACCTATCCATGGTGTATTATTTTGGGAACCCATGGATTTTTTTTTTTAATTATTTAGAACAATTTTGGGGGACTTTGGTGTTTTATTTTTGGCAAATTCCGACCTGCCCTGTTTTTGAGTTAATTTTGGGACCCCGTTTTTTTTTTGAAAAATTTAATACAATCTTGAGGTTATAGGTATTTCTGTTTGGAAAGAATTTGAAAGTGCTTTGGAGCTTCTAGTGTCTTAATAATTTAATTTAATTAAATTAAATTTCTTATAGGATACGTCATTCGCCAAAATCAGCTTTATCTTAGCAGGTACTAGCCCCGCCCACCCATCCTCTCTTTTCTTAGAGCAGTGGTTCGCAAACTTTTATTATTGATGGCACCCTAAAATATTAAACAAAAGTTGGCGGCACCCCGCCAAGAACAGTTTTAATTGTAACTAATTTATTATCAAAACACTTTATCACATGATTGTATAATATGTAATTGATATTAAGATTGTTTTATAAATATTTGTTTTCCATAATTTAAGCTTGTCTTTTAAAGACAAAATTTTTTCACTGAAGGTTAAAATATTTGAATTACTTTACTTGAATTTACATATTTTATTCAAGTGTTCAAAAATATTAGTTAAATATGCTAGTTTTGCACACCAAACGGGGTCTTGAAGGAGATCAAAAAATTGTTCAATATTTTCTTATTCAAAAAACGTTTATATCTGTTTTCTTAATTCCCAAAATCGGGAAAGAACACGGCCTTTACATAGCCATCTTACTTCACTATGAAGAAAATTAACATGTTCAGAACACATTTTCCATTACTGAACAGTTGTATCATATTAATAAACTCAGATCATCAATTATTATTTTTTAAAGTTGGTTTTGTGCTTATATTTATTAAAATCATTATAAAATTTTCACGGCACCCTCTTGGGGGTTCCGCGGCACCCCAGTGTGCCGCGGCACCCAGTTTGCGAACCACTGTCTTAGAGGGTCTAGATATCGTGCACTCTAAGACCGACACAGCTGTAAAACTGCGTAGAAGCACAAAATCGGTCGGGCCAAGTCCACTTTCAAATTTAAGGGGTGGATACACCTTCAGAGGCGTCCGTCATGGTTTTTCTGTCATATTGAACTTTTCTAGCGTAAGGGTACCTGTTTAGATTAGTGCCTAATAGATTCATTCGCATTCGTGCTGGCGCGTTGACCAGTTCACTTAAGCTTATATTTCCCTGTTATTGTTTGCGATTTAAAAAAAAAACAAATTTAAAAAACCACCCCCTTCTGAAGTGTGCATGTTACGCTACTGACTGAGAGTTCGTTGTCCATTCTGATGACTCATCATGTTGAACTTAAAATGATCCATCTCTATGTCATTTGCTAAAATCACTCTTATCTTAGCAGGTACTAGCCCCGCCCACCCACCCTCTCTTTTCTTAGAGGGCATATCATTTGCCAAATTCGATCTTATTTTAGCAGCTACTAGCCCCGCCCTCTCTATTTTCTTGTAGGGTATGCCATGGCCCAAAATCAGTTTCATCTTACCAACCACTGAAGATTAACTTTTACCAAAAAAAGCCGGAATTTTGAACATCTTTTCTAGTGTTTAGTTGATTATGCATTAATGGATTTTTCTTTTGTTGGTTTTGTTTTTGTTTATAATTTATAAATGTCTTATTAAACGTCTTTTTTTTGGTTTATTTTTAATGAAAAATAACAGATTGTTTTATTAATAATAATGCACAACGATTAATGACTACTGGTTGTTGTGGTTATTGCCCTAAAAAAATAAAAGGTGGATTTCATTCACCATCGTTACTAAGAAATCAAAAAGTAAGCTGGAGGTATTCACGCAGTGTTGCCAATTTTACTTTTATAAAATCACGTTTTTTCGTAATCTACATGATAAAGAATTTTTTTATTATTTTTTTGAGACGCCCGTACATAAGGTACTGAAGAGTTAATCCGCCATTTTCCAAACACCCGGTGTAAGCAATTCTAAAAAATATGATTTCACTGACAAAGCAGAACTATAGTCTTATATTTTGCACATTTTAGGTAGGATTTATTCGGCAAAATTTTGAAATGATGTCATGAATTTAAAGAGGGGGATAAATGGATAAATTCTGATTAACGAGTTGCCATATTTATGATATTGATAACCTTAAAATCTGTGTACGATTTCAGAGTATTCGATATTGTGGTTTCAAAATTAAATTGTAATATATGATTATATATATATATTTTTTAAGATGGATTCATAAACCACAAGTACAGGAGTATGTTATGATAGAAAATGTAAGTCAAATTTATTGTACAAAATTTTAGTTGACGTCATCACATTGTTGTGGGGACGAGTAAACAATTTTGGTCAGCGTTTTACCATTTACACCATACTCTTAATAAACATAAAATTTGACAACAATCGGTCCAGTAGTTTTGGAGATTATCTGTCCAATAAAAATCAACACAGACGACAGACGGACAGAAATGCGAAACCCAGTTTTTTATATTGTATATTGTCGACAGAACATGAGCGTAGCCATTAGATGTTAGTCCATAGTCCAATAGTCCAATGTACATTTACAAAAAATATTATGGTTATTTAGTTTATTATGATTACGTAGTTCACCGCGTTACTTAAAAAACAATCAAGGGCTTAATATGCAGCTTTGACCTACACCTTCGTTATCGAAAACTCTGCCTGTTTTAATTACTTTTTCTTCTAATATTTTCCTGTCTTGACATCAGTTAAGCTTGGCTTTAATAATCAAATTTTCACAATTTTGTCATTTTTGAAACTTTTCGATACAATTTTATCTTTTGTGTTAAAACAACCTTCAAATCTATACATTACAAAGTAGCCGACAATAAACATCAATTTTGTGTATGAGTGTGTGTTTTTTTAATACAAAATTTTAATTTTTCAGTACAATAACATAAGAATTAAGAAATTGGAGAGCTATATTGTCATTTTCCAAAGTTGAATAAAGAGTCAACTTTATGCAAAATCATTTTAACTAAATCATAAATATTTCAGGCAGGATCATGTATAATTTAAACTTGGTCCTTTGAGCCGGATAAATTCTTTTCTCTTGAAATTACGAGCGCTTTTACCAATTCTGCGCTACTTCCACAACCACTGGTAGAAATCTCATCGGCAACATCAAACATGTCGAACTAATGCGATGACTTAATCATTGCCATCATCTGACATTTAGAAATCTTAATTGATGTCATCAATTTATCAGACGAGAAACGAAAAACAAATAAATAAAAATAATTTTCGTAAATTTTTACGCAAAAACACATGTTTGAACCCATCAACAAGTTAAGTTATTTCTTCGACAAGAAAATAAAAATCGTCGGTTTCTTTGAATATTTAGATCTTAATTAATTTGATTTTGAAGTATAATTTCAAGATCGAAGTTTCCCCAAGGATGCTGTTTCCTGTGTGTGATACGAAATTCTAAAATCTAAAATCGGCTTGGCAGGAGAATAAAGATGTCGTTAAAATAAAACAAATTGGTAGGGGAAGGTGGGTCAAGAAGGGTACCCAGTATTTCGTAATTGATCATCTGCCATATGTAACTTCTGAATTGCAAATTCGGGCATAAAATGATGGGAAAAACGCATTTTCGTTTCATTTTCTATACTAAACTATATTTTAATGCAGCAAACTTCACTATGTTTTGACTTGAAGATAAGTTTGCCTCTTTTGCTTTTAATTAAAATGCCAACAAATTTATTGGAATAACTAAAAGTAGAACAACGTCGGCGAATGCTACGAATGCTACTTGAACTATTTTGTATGTAAAAATAGTCTACTCAATTGACGCGACGACACTTTTCGCATTCAAACTATTCAGAGAGGACTTTATCTCATCTCGACTTTATTTTAATTGGCAACAATACTCGATCATTTTAGTACACCTCTGAAAACCAATGTTTTGTTTTATGTTAAAGCTCAAATGCCTCACTTTCCCCTATATTAAAATTTAAAACTCACTTCTGCTGGCCAGGAAGATTTCGATGGCGACATTCTGCAGCAAGTACTTCCTCGAAAAAATGGCCCTAACTTCCGAAAAGTACCATTTCCCATGCAAATGGTCGCAGTATTTCAGCACCTGAAATCAATGAAAAAATCTACAATCGTCTCATTAGCAAAATCAAAGGCAAACCCCGCTCCCTCATTAACATTTAATTACTCCTAATTAAAACCTTCACGTCTAGCAATAATCCGGAACGCTGCTCCCACGAGCTTCAAGATGGCCGCCAGCATTAAATCCGTAGGAGGAGCCGCGAAACTGATCATGATTGTTGATAATATCGATTTGGCAGCTACCGAGCTCCCACATTGGCACAAGACGAGACTGCGCCATGCAATTCACACTCCTGATAACAGCAGGACCCGCAGGAATTTTCCTGCTGAACGCGGCGCGGTTCCGAGAACTTTCCGTCGACAGAGATGTATGGGTCTGTGGTGGAGTTTTTTCGTTGGGAAAAAAAGACGCATCTTCTGTCTACGCAGGTAAAACAATGGGACGGAGGAATATCAAGTGTTATCTTGGCATTCCTATCGGAACAGGTCCACATAAAGTTGCTGTCAGGGTGACAGTTTTCTCTTGGTCGTAAATAATGTGGAAGGGGCCGAAGAGGTCCGAGTCGAATTGAGTAAAGTAGAAGTGTACGTTTGAATGTACTACAAACGTTGATTGTCTTGAAAATTGAATGGTATTGGAGTGATGGCTTGTTGATGCCGGGAACATGAGGACGATGGGCAGGAACTAAATGCTTTATCGCGAACACGGTGTCAGGAGGAGTTTTCTTGAGGTTTTGAGATGTTTGTGGATTCCGGGTACTTGTTTATGGTGTTATACGATGATCATGAAAAGAAGCTCCAAAGTTCGTTTTCAGAGTGGTCCAGGTGGTGATTTTAGAGATTAGCTACTGAAAATTTACGAATCTGTTCCAACGCTAATGACTTAGAGCCAATTTACTAAATGCTGTTTCAATTTACGAAAAAAAAATATCATAGTAAACCTGTTTTGCTTATTTAGTATTTTTTTTCCAAATTTAATTTCTAAATTTATGTTTTACTTTACAAAATAAAAGCGAATCAAGTAACTTTACTTAAAAACAAAAATACTTCTTAGTGGCATTTAATGTGGTCTTTTAACTAATACAACAGTTTTGGGTAGTGTATATATGTTTTTAAAGAAAGACACTTTGAAATCTGTCAGAAAAGGTATTGAAATAATGCACTCCAAGATCGGTAAGTGTCTTCTAACATAATAGAGTGAAATGAACCAGATACGAAGGACCGAAATTTCTAACTTTCGAGACGTATATTATAAGAATATTGTATGAGTTTTTATTGTTGTTCTTTCGTTAAAAAATAAAAACGTGGTTGCATGCTAGAACGTCAGAGTATAAAAATACGTATACGATTTATTGTACATTGAAATGTCATGTTGGATCATTTATGGGTCCTGTGTTCTCAGGTCACATTTCGACCGAGTATGCATAAAGTGCAAACGTTCTTTTTGTGATTTATGTCAATTCGGTAGACAAAAACTTCTACAAAAATATCAGTTCTACGATAAAAACTAATATTTTAAACTAATTTTGAATTGATATCACTGCACATTTACACAAAATAATTCTTCAATTTTCTATATGCTTTTTCTGTTTTTCTAAATTTTTTGATAGGTTTCGTCCCGATATTTTTATACGCATCTCAAAGTAAGAACTTTAATTTCAAACCTGACTTTTCTTACATTGAAAAGCATGTTGTACTTTTTTTATAAATAATAATTGATCTGCAGATATAGCTGAAATTTTGGGTTTTGTAAAGTGACCTAGTGATACCTAGACGAATGTTTTGTGCAGCAGATATGTAGGTATATAATGTTTAAACTTTTGGCATTAATTTTTCAACAGAGTATAAGTTGTGTGAAATGATTCTCAAAAAAAGAATAAAACTTTGACTTGGCTTTTAAAGGTTTGATTTACAGATTTGTCTGATTTCCCCTGAACTGTGCTTAAATTTCTTAGTTTTACAAATAAAAAAATTGGTCGTAGGTTACTTTTTTTTAAGAAAACATAAATTAAAATAAATACATGTATGTAATGTTAATGGAAATTTAAAGAAGTGTGCTACGCGTACCAATGTTTCAAACGAGTTTTCCATTACAAAATTTTGTGATGACGTCCTTAATTAATCGATAAAATAAACTGACTTTCATTATTTTTTTTAGTCACCCTGTATAAACAATTCTAAAAAGTATGAACGCAATGAGAAATCACAAGTACCTATAGATTCATTATATTTTGCACATTTTAGATAGAATTTATTTGGCAAAAGTTAAGTGAGATGACGTTATAATTTTGGCGGGGGGGGGGGGGGGGATAAACAAATATATTTTGATTACAAATTTGCCATGCCTACGACAATTTTAAAAAGTTTCCAAAATTTCAAGGCAGTTCCTGATTTAATCAAGAAGATAAACTGACTTATTCGTTATTTATTTTAAGTCACCCTGTATAAACAATTCTAAAAAATATGAATACATGATAAATTACAAGTATAAACTCATCATATTTTGGACAATTTAAACAGAATTTATTCGGCAAAATTTTGAGATGACCTTATCAATTTTTGGGGGGGGATAAACAAATATATTTTGATTTTAAATTTGCCATGCTTACGATAACTTTAAAACGCCTGGAAGATTTCAAAACATTCGGTTTTACAGATTCCAAATGAAATTGCAACATATTGTTAGATAATTTTGTTTTTTTTTTCCAAACATCTGCGTAGGGTGAAAACTCAACACGGATTCACACACAACAAGTGCAGGAGCATCTTATTTTATAAAATTAAAAAAAAACGTAATCCCATTGGTCGTGGGGATAATTAGACAAATTTTAGTTAGCATTTAACCATCTACATGATATTCTTAATATACCTACATACAAAATTTGAAAACAATCGGTCTGGTAATTTCGGAGAGTACGTATTTAACATAAACGGATACAGACACCAAACAGACAGACAGACAAACGGTAACTGGAGACCACTTTTTTCGTACTCGAGAGGTCGTGACACTCGAGAAAATATGAAAGTGGCAATTCGCCCGATGGACTCGATTCCTATAAGTACTTCCTTAGCTTATGCTAAGGGAAATAAAAACATACTTAATTTTATGAGGGGCATGGGTCAGTTGCGCGCTGCGGTCAGAAAGATTTACATATAATTTTACTATAATGTTGGCCACTTAAAAATAAATAAATACTCACACATACTAGTTTCAGAGACACAATTCTACACGCATTTATTAATTATTAGATATGTATATAGAGCAGTATTTTTTGTTCTTCCATTTTTTACCAATACATTCATCTTGTATAAAATAAAAAATCTTGAAAAATAACGTATCTTTTAAATATCCATATGAAACACTTTTTATATAAGCAAATCCGCTGAACCTGTTTTTATACATATTAACTAAATTATTAATATGTCTAAATATATTACTATAAACTAAGGTTGGAAGAAACGGATTAAAAAAAAAAAAAAAAAAAAAATTCAGTACTAAAACTCTTAAATACAAACACAAGAGAAGAACCAGTCCAATAGTTTCGGGAGTTATTTGTCTAATAAAATCGACACAGACAAGAGACGACAGATAGACAGACGGAAACGGGAGACCTATTTTTTTTTCATACTCCACGATAGATAACTTACGCCCGAGAAGTAAAAAATCAGAAGAAAATTATCGTTTTATTTCATTGGAAATGTTTTATTCTAATCAATGTATGTTCAATTTATTTTGATGTATCTGCATTAAAAAGACTGTAATTTGCATATTATCGTAATTTGAAAAAAATCAGTCAATTAGTGTTTTTTTTACCGTGTCGATCGATGTCCCAAAGGTGAAAAATAAGCAAGACATTATGAAATCTATGTACTAACAAATAGTATCCAGCTTTTGATGCTAAGCAATAACGATACAAACACAATGTGACATTATTGACGTAAATATAACTTGCAAGTAGAGTTGAAAAAAATCGGATATAAATATAATTTTTCAATTATTTGGAATCAAAAATTAACACAAACCAAAAATTAGGAGCTTTAGTTACGTTTATTCGGCTTTTAACAGTGATTCACATTTTATTGAGTTGTTTTACCTTTTATTTTCCATATATATATTTTAAGACACGTCCACCAGTATGTAACTCCGTGTCATGTTTGCATCGAATTTCTGCGAGTTTTGGATAATAAAGAGAATTTATCTTCATTTACGTTGTTAATAGTAACAGTGTTATTTATTTTTACAAAGTTTACTCGAATATTCTTAATTAATGTTTTGTTATAGGTATCTGTTCTTAAAATAAAAATTAGTCTAAAGTAGTGGACACAATTTTCCTCGCCCCTGAAGTACGCTCCATCAAAATACAATTTCATTTTGAGTATTTAATTTTTTTTCGTGATAACTCCTCCTGTAAGTTAAATAAATCGAGGCGTATTCCTAAACTACAAGTATAGGATTATGTTGTCATCAAATTTAAATAGTAAAATAGCATTTATTAAGCAAAATTTTTAGGTGAGGTCATCAAATTGTTGGTTATCGTTGATCGACAGACTACAGACGATGGACAGACGGAAACAAAACAAAAAAAATTAAAAGTTTGCGGTGGGGGAGTAAACAAATCAAAAGAAAATTCACGTTTTATTTTGTTAGTTTAGATGCATTATATTTTCGTAATTTGAAAAAAAAAAAGAATAATTTAAATCGGACAACCCTGCTTACAAATCAAATAGAATCAGCCGTACTACCACAACACTATTATTGTTTGTATCAATCATAAATTTGATTGTTCAACCTTAGTTCTATAGTGAATGTAACATGCCAGTTTATTACTGCATTAACTCAACCGACACAATGCTCCTGTACAGAAGAGACCTTTATAGCGCAATCTTTTACAATAATTCACCATTGGTATTGCTACTATTGCAGACAATAAGCAATATATCACAATAATCTTCAAGGATTTTTAACCTCAGTATAAGATTAGTTAATCAATTGTAGTATTTTTAAAAAGATTCATTTTTTTACTA